ATAAATGATAAATCAGAAGTTTTTGTGGGGAGCAAGTAAAGAAACCAGATCTAGTTCGGGTGCTGTTTGCATTCTTTCAAAGTTAAAACATGGAGGACAAATCCTCCAGGTATTTCGGAATTTCCTCATGGTTTATGTCACCAGAAAACACACTAGGGTAAGACTAAATATATTCTCTAGTAGTGCAACATATTCCAGGTGAATATTCAATAACATCAAAAGGGAATAACTTATTACAATTAGCAGGAGAATGTCATAAAATACAGGTAGCTAGAAAACAATATTTGCACGAAACACGTGTAGGTACAAAAAAATAAAAAATGGATGAATCAACCCTATTTATTTTTCTAAGTTAAAACGATAAAATAAAACGTCGCATTTCTCAAATACCACAGATCACTGGAATTAGGATAGCAGTTGACATATTTGTAGTATCTGAATGTCAAAAGGAAGCTGCGCCTTACTTTTCAAATGTATAGCAAGATATGTACAGGTTATTTTGTATTAGCCACTCGATTCCAGTTGTAGAATATCATCATTTGAATCCATGTGATGATCACTACTTTCAAAGCTAGCTATATCATAGGTGTAATCCTAGAATGCTAGTCAAGTTTTTGATTATTACATGGCATTATAACGTACCAATAGGCTGAACGGAGTTTGCAATCATTGTTTTCTGAGCATTCTGGAACCAGTCTTTCAGGTGAACAGCATTATAGCTGTGCCCTTAATAAATGTAATGAAAAAGTATTTGTTCCACAGGATTTTATCTGAGTAGTTATAGATGACAATGCTATTACAGAAAGCGTATACTTATATATTATTGAATTTCCTCGATATTTGTTCTGTACATGTGTAATTTGATTATATATTTTGTGTGTGCTATACGAATGTACTTTGGAAGTTATAATAAATTACATGCAGTGTTATTTTGATTACTTAAATTATATTTGATTTGAAAGGAAGGCAAATAAGTGTTAGAATATCAGCCTTGTAGTACTTGGCTCTCAGGTGTCAGGATATGTGTAAAGTGTTTATAAAGTTGCCAAGGTTTAGTAAGAAACAGAGACTGTGCTTACTGGTCAACCTACTTCATTACTGGAGTCTGTCATATGCTCACATATGTTCAGACAACAACCAGGAAAGGGAGAGTAGAATTAGGGATTATGGGTGAGTCCCTTCTGAAATCTTTTGGACCAGGCATCCACTGGTGTTACAAAAACATTTATTCATACATAAGTAGATATGTATATATAATGAAACCTGAAAAATGGCATATAATCTTTATGATAGCCCTTTAAGAACTTTTCATAGAAAGAGTCTTGTAGTTATCAAGTCAAGAAAGCTTTAACTCCATGTTGCTGACTGAACATTTGAGTTATCAAAGACTAAACAAATTTGGTATATTCAATCTTTAGTTTCAAAATACTATATTTTGTTCGCTGGCAATCTTGGCTTTTGACCCTGACTAGCCAGTTAGCCTGACCTACTGCTCTGTAGATGACATGGAAGACTTCTTGTTCTTAAGAAGAAATTGGGTACCTTTGAGGTACCAGGAGCTGCCCTAAATCTGATGGTCTTCACAGAAAACCTGGTGGTAATAGAATCAACCTTAGGTACTTGAGTTAGCGCTTTCAATCAGTTGGCTATCTTTTCTTCTACATTTTGATTTCTTCAGATACTTTGGTGGGGAATAATCTGTGAGCACTATTTTCCAATAAAGCCACAGCACTTGATGAAGGTCTTTCTAAGGTTTAAGAGGTCATAAAGTAAGAAGAAATCTTTGCCCTGTCACTAGTCTCCTTGGAGATACATTGTGAGCTAGTCATAGCTACCAAGATAACTTGATCCACAACTGACAACTATTGATATGCTCCTGCCAGGTATCATGAGATGGAAGCAGCATTATTAACATCATGTAGTCCACTGGATGGAGGCAGTGGCCATCCTGCCAAAAGCTGAGGACACAGGGGTGGTGTCACAAAGAAAACCTCATTCCAACCCCAAAAAATGACTTCAGCCAAGCCAAGGAGGTTATCAGAAAACTGACCAGAGAGAACAGAAAGTTAACATACAGACTGGACAATCTACTATCTTCATTATAAGTCCAAATATTGGTCAATGATAAGAAAATTTACTTTCTAGTTTTTTGAAGACATTATTTTTTCTTTTACATAAGTTAATGAAAAATGAAACAGACTTTTTCCATAGGTACAGTAGTCCTAAATGGTGCTATCTCATAAAATAACGGGTTCCACTATTTGTTAAAATGTTATGAATTTCTTTCTGATGCTTAAATGTTTTAATGAAAAATATTAATAGTGTACGAGTTTTTATGGTTCAAATGTGTGGTATTCAGGTATACTGATTTTCAACAGAAAAATAAGACCTGTAATAAGCATATATATATAAATGTATATGAAAACTTTAACGAAACTGCAACAGCTGTAAAGGTGGTAGATATAAGCACTACAAAACAGTGAAAAGAATCTATATATAATAAATTCAACCACAAAACAAACTGAACAAGCCAAAATTGTGTGAGGTGATGAGCCTACACAACTTACAATATGGGAGGAGAAGAGGTATAAAAGTAGATCCCAAATAGCATTGAAAATACCCATTCTCTCTCTAATTATCCATCCAATCAAAGGTGAAAACTACTATATCAAAAATAGCAAACCATTCAGGACCCAGTGTTCCTCAAGTGTCACAAGTTGGTTGACAAAAAATAAAAAAAATACTGCACACACACAAGTATATTAATAGGAAAGTGATATATCACATAAAACTTACTCTACTGTATACTTACATGCATGTCTGTTTTTCAGCTGCTGGTGTACTACAATTTACAATTTGTAGTTATAGATGTACACATTTTTTAACAGTATATGAATGTGTGTACGTCAAGAACAATGGAAAGGAGGTGCGGGAAGGGGGGGGGGCTCTGTCTAAAGGTCCAAGAGCTGCTGCTCTAGCACAAAATGTTTTAAGTACCTCAACGCATACTATCTGTGGATAGTTGTGGGCATGATACCAATTAATAGAGCTAATAATTCATAAGGTAGTCACCCAATCTCCTCCCTTCACAGCAATCTCTTACTAATAGTTAATACAGAACAACACTACCCACCAATATAGTTTATAATATAATCAACATCATTATAGAACTATTCGATTGTTTTTGTGTGTTCATAGTGTATGACTGCCGATACTAAGAAGATGAAACTATTGTTTCAGAGGTTTTTATTTGGCTTTTGAACTGAAGCAAAGCCCAATAATAGCTAGGAGAAAAATTATAACAATGTCAGGAATTTGGTGTATTTTGCACATTATTAATGGAGTTGCCTGATGAAGTCTTAAGAGAAACTGAGTATTATTTTCTGGACTATGACTATTGTAGTTAAATTTTCACGTTAGTGTAGTTAAATAAAGCATTTCATTTAACATATTAATAAAGCATTTGCTGGTTTGTTACATAAAGCAAGTTTTTGTTTTTATTAATTTAATTTCTAAGAAAGTAGAGTTCAATGACTTAGTAAAATGAACAAGTCTCGAGTATAAACTTTTTATGAACATTATTTCTAGTACATGTCCATACTTTTTTGTACTCGTTTTCTGAGAAACAATTTTATTAATTTTGTGTATGTTTAATTTCTATAAACATTCACAACAGTTTTGATGAGTAGCACATTACTTTGGATTAGTTGTATATTCAGTTAAAGCAATCACAAATAACAATTGCTAGCAAGGGTTTCAACACTTCATCCCTCTTTTTTTTCCCTATGGTTTTGATGCGGTTGTGTGTGGAGGTATAACCTTTGCCAACTGTTTGTTGCCCCCAAGCTGCCCAAAAAAAATAAAAATAAAATATATTTAACCCCTTTTGCTTTTCATTACTTTCAGTTTTGTTGCTAATTATTATTATTTTTAATAATGTATGCAAAGTTCTTTAAATATCTTTTTTACATGTTTGATCTCCAAATATGGCAAAAATAAAGTTAGTTAAAAAACTTAATAAGCTGAGTGGTATTTCTTGAAGTTAACTCTGTAAAACCATGAGATTAATGAAAGGCAGAAGAGGTTGACTTTTTCTGGAGGTAGGCATAATTCTACAACTTACATTTTACTTAGATTTCTCAAAACTCTAAAAAGTATTGAACAAAATGGCCTTGTATGTACAACAAAAAGTTCACTTAGATAAAAAATAAGGACTTTTTTTTGTGAGATGTACATGCTCAACAGTGAAAAATCATTCATATGGTATTTTTTGATATTTATGTTCAAAGTGAGCAGTGAAAATAGAATGCGAGATGGTCCCATACATAATGAGTATTTGTTTTGTGTTTCAGAATTTTTACACAAAGCTACCCAAAGAGCGATCTAAGGCCATAGCTATCACTAATTTTGAACTGAAAAGCTAGTAGAAAAGCAGCTAGTCAATAGCACCCACTGCCAACTCTTGGGATAGTGGGATTTGACAGTCTTTATTATAGTGCACCCACAGTGCATAGCAAATATGTGCAGCACTTGAATTGATAGTTTATAGAAGGGTAGTAACTGATGTTATAGTTGGTGGAGATCATCTGAACAGTCTATGCATATGTTAAGTATACAAGATTTTTTTTCTAAACAAATTACCGAAATCATGTTGAAAGTTATGTATGTTAATTACACAAATCAACATACACCAATAAAAAGTTAAAATTAGTAGCAGATAGTGGAATTAAAAAATGTAGGTACCCAGTGGGACATACAGTCAAGATTAAAGATATCCTTACAAAAAAACAATGAAATTTCTCTCTTAAATGCGGAAGAGGAATTGATTAATTATCAAATGTTCCCTTACCATTTAGTGGACAAAAAAACAATTGATACAACAAACATTTCTGAAAGTACTTAATACATGAGAACTAATGCTTTTAATATCCTTCTTTAATCATTTTAAATGTTCTCAATTCTACAAAAGTCACTAGTAAATTATTGATATAATGATCTACTTAACAGTTTCATAAAAGCTTACTTTATTCAGAGTACAGAAAAAAGGTACACACACGAAAAGAAAAAAAAAAGATGAAGCACAACATAAAGACTAACATGATAATGTGGGTATCAACATCACAAAGTGACAGAAGTACTAATATGCAAGAAAACCACTTCTGCACAAGGTTCAACCTACTTTAAACTATAGCAGGTACCAAGCCTGCAAAATAAGACAATCATTTAGAATACTGAGGCCTTTTATATTAGACCATACTGTTACAACTATGACACATTTGTTACACAAAATTGCAAGCCTTACAGAAACACTCTCTGTACTGGTACTTGATATTTCAAACTTTAGTATTCAGGCATTTTTTCAGTGAAATTATTGTTTAGATCCTGCATTTTCATTAAAAAGTAACAAGTAATTGAGTTCAAAAATACAAGGAGCCATAACAGCTAGAAAGTTGAACATAGCTAATTAACAAAGTCTGGAATAAAAATTACACCTCTGCACTTACTTTAAACATTAACATCTTACAAAACTGCATTTCCACATCTGAGGAAAATATAAAAGCTGAATGGGATAATTATACCAAGAAAAAAAAAAACTTGTAATAATAAAAACACAAGCATCACCCCGAGTTAAAAATAATGTCAAACTAATAATGACAAAAGTTATTACTGTCAAAGTTAGTGCAGCTTACTTTTAGCTATTTCTTGGCAAAGAGCTGCTTGTAGAACAAATTTGCCACTATATTAAAACAAATAAAAATATTATACTTTTGATAAATTCTTGTCACGTCATTTAATATATTTGCATTAAATCAAATATATTATGAATAACTATGTGACATGGAAATAGAATCCATTACTTTTATTGTTACACTTTATAATTATAACATATACAACAGTATAATCTTCCCTAATAAAATCTACTGCACTTACTGGTTTTAGGTTACTACAAAAATTATCTGTAAACTTCACTGAAGGGTCCTGTGAAATTTGAGGAATAATCTAATTAATGATTTCTAATTTTCTCTGTGTGTTAATAATTTACACAAAATTAGCTTCACACTATTAATAAAAAAGGTTAAAACGTTTTTAAATTAAGGACTGTGGTATTCATTCCTAACAGCAATACAGCTACTCAGGAAACACAACTCTCAATCTTGGAATTGTATTTTTACTTAATACACATCCATATGGTAAACAAAAATAAATTAAAATTATGGGACTGAAAAAAACCTAGAAACCCTATCAGTTTTAACTCTTTTTATTCAATGCTTTGGAAGGTTTCTACACATTTTATTAGGTTGCTAGTAGAAACAGAAATTAGGTAATAAAATAAAACAGCCCTCACCATAAAACTGTTAAAAAAAACAGCTTTTCTCAGGCATTAAAAGCCCTACAACAGAATGTTAGAAAACATTGATTTTATACCATTGAAAGCTATTATTTAGTTATGGTAATGAAATATTGCAAAATAAAAGTTTGAAAAGTTTATGATGGAATCATACTCTAAAAAACAAACATCTGACCCTATGATTGACCATGACTTGTATACTGTTATGATAGCTTATGAACCTAAAATTATGACACTCACTATAATAATGGGACCAAAGACATTCAGACAAAATAGGACACATAAAAATGAAAACTGTACATGCCTCAGGGAACCAATCTTATGATTACAAAGGAAGAGGTAAAGAGAATCTGACATAACATTGCCAGATATCTTTTTTTGGCTTTCATTCCTATCCTTTCAGCCACTTAGTTTTACTTTCAAATTCACTGTCATCTTTAACTGCTGGTAAAAACTTTGTGTACAAAATCTTCTCTTTTTATATAACCATCAAAAGACTCATTTCTTCCAACATACAGTGTATATGTATGGAATATTCAAAAGATATATTCCAACTGATTCTTATGTATTCAATGGGGTGAAAGTAATTAACTTTACAGACATTACACACAAGAATTGATGGCTCTTAAAACTGGAATAAAAATAAAGATCAAACCATTTTTTTTTTCAAAGTTCAGATACTTTTGTGACATGAGTATCATGTACTAATCAAAGAGAGTTGGTTTTCATGTACAAAATGCTATTCAGAAATAAAGCAGTTCAATGACCATACAAGTACAAATGCAGCTGAGAAGTATACATTTTGTTTTTGGTTACAGCAGACAGGTAACAGAGCTGCTTAGTCCAACATGGATTTATGAACCATCAACTTGCAGCAAAAATCCAATCATGTAAGATGGACACAAGGGAGTAGTAAAAACCACCAATTCAAATGTACACCGTGCTTTATGGGCCCCAAGGTAAAATCAATAAATGTACAAAGGACTGGGTCCCAGGGTGCAGACAAAATGATGATTAAGATCACTGATACTTCTTATTCATTCTTCACTTTCTTGGAAGTTCTATTAGTAAAAAAAGAAAAGAAAAAAAATAAGACAATAAATAATCACACTAGTTTAACACAGAAATAGACACGTTTTGTCTCGAAAAGTTGAAATCATCAAATTAATTTAAAAAACTTTATTACAATGATAATCTTAACAGGGTTTATGTCCACGAATATTACATTAACAAAATTAATAAAATAAGTTAAAATGTAAAATATAAATTATAAAAAAAATACATATTACTATCATTAGTTTATCAGTCAAAGGAATAATAAAATTACAGAATATAAGAAGTACCAATCAAAAAAAAGATTTATTTATTTATAAGAACACAAGTTACTAGTAAGAAGTGAACAACAGACCTTTTGAAGGCTCTTAAACATGCCTGCTACTTAATTTCTAACTAGAAATTTTGGGACAGCTACTAGCACCATTATACTTCTCTAAAGTTAACTGTAAATATATGACAATTAATTATTTCATTTATTGAATGTTGGTAAATTTGTGTATATTCCATGTACAAATCTTCTGAATCATGAATTAGTTTCAAATATCAAGACTCATTTTCATTACATGTAAAAACATTTTTGTTTATTCTATTTCACAAAGGCCATGAGCACTTGGATCAATAAAGTTTACAAGTACTCCAATAGTGAGTCAATCTACACTGAAACCAATATGGTTTAAATGCCAAAAGCTGTCACAACATTAGAAGCAAAAAGACATAACTTTTGCATTAATCATGGACAAATTAAAAGAAATATGGGAAAAAAAACATGCAGTTTATATGATTTCCATTTCATTACTACCTATAATGAACAATCATTTAAGTACAGTATTTTTTAACCATTCTGCTCATAAAATTGTACCACAGAGGCTGGATGGTGCAAGTCTAGCTTGCTGGCCCACACACTAATTGCATTGGTATTGATACTCAGCCTGGGTATGAAATGCAGCTCAAATAGGGATTGCAAAACTAGAATGGTGTGGATAAGTGAAACAAGCTTATTAATCACAATTATTTTAACCTCCTGTACTTAGAATCTTACAATATAAATGGCTGATATGCATGTATCATAGAGATGTTGATATTTGGCAGTAAGAATCTGTGAATCTTTTTTCTGAAATGTGTACCAGGAATTTTTCCAAGTGCCTTCTAAGTTTTATTAGCAAGACTGCAACACTAAACAGCAATTTGCTAATTTACCATATTAATTTCAAGCCATGTAAAATGATAAAATATAAAATAGCAAGTCTATTTAGGAAAAAAGTAATTTACTTCTGGAAAGAGACTCATATCTGAAGAATTATCATCAAAGTAAACTCTTGGTAAGAGTTATTTTACTAAGAGGGCAAGAGGTAGTTAAACATTTTAAGTCCTTGGTTTATAATTTCCATTCATTGATTGTTTGTTTTGTTTTTGAATTTCGCGCAAAACTACACGAGGGCTATCTGCACTAGCCGTCCCTAATTTAGCAGTGTAAGACTAGAGGGAAGGCAGCTAGTCATCACCACCCACCACCAACTCTTGGGCTATTCTTTTACCAACGAATAGTGGGATTGACCGTCACATTATAATGCCTCCACGGCTGAAAGGGCGAGCATGTTTGGTGTGACGGGGATTCAAACCCGCGACCCTCAGATTGCAAGTCGAGCACCTTAACCACCTGGCCATGCCGGGCCCTCCATTCATTGAATAGAACTGTTTACTTTTTTTATATTGGATGTAGCAATAGCTCTACTAATTCCACCTACTATTGCCACAGCATACCAAATTTAACACAAGTTGTAATTACAATTTAAAAGTAGCAATTGTGATTACGTTGGAACTATGACTGATAACTTATAAAGTCGGTCATAACCTCTTAAATAAAAAAATGCAAATAAGAGGCTGCTGTAGGAATGAATGTTTATCAGGCACTTCTCAATGTATTTGATTGTTTGTTTTAGCTCAAAGATACACAATGGGCTATCTGCTCTGCCCTCTGTCCATCGTGGGGAACAGAACCCCAGATTTTAGTATTGCAATGCATTTGAACTATTCTTGAAGAAAATAATTTTTGAAAGTTCTTGAATGTGAAATATCATAATAATTTAAAATACTTGTTATTATATCTACAAACTAATAAGATCTTACTTCAACCACTGAACCACAAATATCTTAACTTAGTATTACATTTGAAGTTTTAACACACACAAATTTTCACTTACCCTTCTAGTGACCCAGCTGGTCGTTTGACAGGAACAGAGTTTCTGGCTGCAGCAGGAGCACCATCTGGAAAAAAAGACAAAACAAAAAACTTAAAATTTACAGAAATACTTAAATCTACAATAATACTATGCCATATTTCTTTTATTATTACTTGCTACATATACAATAAGTATGAAAATCAGATGTGTGCACAAAAGAAAAAGGAGTCAAGACCAACAAAACTGGTCTCTTCAACAGCAGATACACCATGGGACAAAGAGGTACAATTGACAAACAATTTCATATCTCCCAGCTACATGTAATTAAAACTTCTAGTTTCAACTGATTTTGGTTTTATTAATATACTGAATACATGGATCATTTTACTAATAAAAGCACAAAAATGTGTGGAGGTTTCAGTTGAGTTTTCTGCAAAAATATATTTGAATTTGGTTTAGAGCATTTAAGTGCACATTTCTAACACATCTACAAATAATTATTTTTTGTTTTGTTGTAATTACTACAAGTTTAATTTAATGCACTTTATATTTAATCTTCTTTTCAAATTTGTTTGTGATCTTCATTATCATAATATTTAGTTGTAAAATGAAGTTCACAGAGATACTTGTCCTATATCCTTAAGCTAGATTAAGGACAACCACTTTCACAATTATTCTCTTAGTAGCTAGATTTCACCTTCTGTTTCTAAAGAAAAAGATGACATGAGATGCAGCAAAAGTCAAAGGTAGAGGAACAGGAAACAAACATAGTAAGAGATCACAAGAAAGTCTAAGATCTTCAAAGTTCATGGATTGGATATCATATTTTTCTAAGGTTTGATAAGTTAGGGCAACCTACCAAAATCAAACAGGATTCGGCTGACAGTCACTCCGAATCCTTAAGTGGATTTCCTCATTAGTGGAGGAAATGCCTGGTCGATCACTGGAAGAAAGCTGATTGGAAAGAAAAGAATACTTCCCTATACTGAAGGCTCCAAGATGAGATGATGAAGCTGTAGCAGAGAAACAAGCAGGACTCAAAAGTCTACAATGAGTGAGAGACCCATGCCTAGATGTATAAATGGCCTGCAAGAGACTGAGAAGTGACATGATACTGGAAAGTAATTAAAGTAATTGTTATGGCTTGAAATGTCAACCAAACATTGTCTGTGAAAAATCAAGCAAGTCATAACTTTTGAAGTTAGGCATATGGTAAAGAAACTCTCTGTGAAAAAGAATCCCTGGCCCATATACCCCAAAAGCCAAGGGCAACAGCTTGGGAAAATATCCTAGTGAAAGAGACTCAAAGCAATCAAAAATCAAAACTTAATTCTGTAAATTGGGTAAGAAAAACTTCATACAAATGAAGACAAACACTGTTGAACATGAAACAATTAATTTCAGACACTTGTAAGGCAAAACAGAAAAAAAGTGCTCAAAAGTGAGAACTAAAGCTGATAATCACAGATGAGAAAAGTGAATATTTGCCAAGTCTTCCAATTTAAAACAACAAAATTTGTACAAAAGAATCCATCTATTTGAAATACAGCCCTTGTAATCTTCCAAACTTTGTTTAGAAAAATTAGGCCTGCATGCAAATACCAGGGAAGGGGGGATTGTATATGAAATAAGTAAAGAAAAAAACTTTTATAAAAAGGAAGTATGGAATGGTTAATAACAATGTAAACAAGATAGTAGGGATGGCATTTCTATCAACCCTACATAATAGCTTAGGACCCAGTGTAGTATAATGTTAACAGACAAAAATAGGATAAATTAAACTCAATTGTGAATGTGCTATACGTTAATTCTTACTTGTGCTATTATGTATAGATGATGCAAGTACCATTCCTACTATCTTGTCTGCATTGTTTTCGAAGGATTGATATTAGCCATCCATACATTTACTTCCTTTTTTGAAAAATTTTTTCATTACTTGTTTGCTTGTTTTTTTAGTGCAGTGTTTACATACAAAGGCTGTATTTATAACCAAGTTCTAAATACAATGAGGTTACAACTGTAATATTTATTGTTTATCTATTATTGGCTGGTAAGTGCTGGTTCACTCTGTACTTAAGCTTTTTAAAAAAACACACCAAACTTCTGTAAGAAAGCTAACTTCAAAGGGTAATGATAACATTGCTTACACTAGAATTACAATTTTTAATTATTACAAGTTAATAATACTTATAAAAGCAGATACTTCATTTGAAACTATGCCACCACAATGAATGTGGTTTACATCATTGTTTTGTTTTTAGTTATCACGTAATAAAAAAGAAGCAGAAGAAAGAAGAACAAGAAATTCAAATTTTTGCTGTGATATTTACAGACACTCCTAGAACTTCTGACTCAGTCATTACATAGATATTGTTATAAAAGGAAACACTGTATAGTATAGTAAAGTTCTATTGAGGAGATATTTAAAATAACATTTCGATAAACAATCTGAGCCATACCTACACTTGCCTGATACCAAAACTTATGAGTTATTTAAGTTTTACAGAAGCTTGTAGTTAACACAAACTTTTGTTCTCCTGAGATGGATGGTTTTAAGTCATGCGAGTGGTTTCATTATCGGGATAGACATATTTTATTGGAATGGACTTAATCCAACCATTTCACTAAAAAAAAGATACAAAACCATTCCAGAAGACCAGAATTATACAATAACAATTCAACAGTAAACTTCCTAAAAATGGTGATGGATTGATGTTGATATCAATACAAAATTTTAGGAATTGTGAAAAATAAAGAATTTTCCAGTAATGCACATTTACTCAGAAGTTCTTATTAGTAATTGCTTTCTCTCATATTACTGAAGGAATTGGATGCAGTTGTTAACGAAGTATAGAGCAACAGTTCCAGTAAAATTGACTGAAAAATAACATATTAAGGAAAAACATAAGCTATTGTTTATTTGAACAAGTGATTTTTCTTAGTTTTCTGTTTAAACAAATGTATAACTTACTAAAATTTATATATGAAACAAAAAAAATGAAGAGGCCTAATTTGGCATTTCTCAATGACCAAAAATACCCATAGATAAAAGATTTATTATAAAAAAAATACATATTTTATCCTAATGCGACTATTTACTAAAAATTTTAAAAGCAAGCTTTAATGTACTTAATATTAGACATTCATCCCTTCATGCATCATCAGCAAAATAAAATAAGCTATTTTACAAACAACAACAACAACATAATTTCTCACACTAAGTTAAATTTAGAGGAAAAACAAAGAATACCAAAAACAATGCAAAATTTATTAAAATTAAAAATAAAGTTGAACCAATTTATGTAAATTTCATATAACTGTTGGTAAAAAACAAAAACATGGAATAATTAATAATGGTGAGTGTATGGCCTTGTGTAAAACAAGGTCCAAGTTTTTTTATATTAAACACTGTCATGGATAAAAGACTACATATAAATGTGATTCATCTATGTGTGTATAACACCTGTATAGACATAAAGGCTTCAATCACTCACCTTGCAACCACCTAACCTGAGTGGCAGGACCATATCCCTTTTCATTGCGAGCAGCTATTCTGAAGATGATGGCAGGTTTCATGGTTGTATCCACATGGGCAGAAGCCAAGCTGTTGTTGTTAACTGTACAAGTAGCCTTAGGGCCACAATATACTCTCACAAAGGCAAGTTGGGAAGGGTTAGATGTAACTGTGGTCTTAGCTCCATCTCCTTGACCACCTGTTGTAGCTGACCTCACAGCTAGGTAAACAGAGTACTCGGTGATTTCTCCCGAGGTATTCTGTGGAGCTTCCCATGATAAGTGTGCTCCATCTGCTCCCTACAACATACCATGTTCAAATATTTTAGTTCCAACCATTTTTTTTATCACTAATGTCCTACAAATTTGCAGAAGTAATACAAAGAATGTTAAGTTTTCCTAGCAAACTTGTTCATTCAAATCTGGACTCCAGTTTGTCTAGAATTACTTACTGACTTTGTTCAACAAGTTGCAAAACAGTTTGGCATAGTTTGAAAGTTCTTAACTAATAAAAGAAATCAAAACTGTCACTTATCAATACTAACAGACAAAATATCAAAATAAATATTTTTAAGCTTAGGTTACAATGTACTTTGGAAGCACTACATTAAGAGACAGTTAAAACACAAAGAGGAAAAGGTATTAAATAAAATGTCTTTAGTCATTTGTTTGTATATAAAAACAACATTGATCAATTTCATTACTGTTTTAAAATCCTATAAAATCCATCCTGTCCAATATCATTTTCAGCTAAACACTGTAACAAATGCTAAGTGATTTAAATGTATGCGATTATCGTTAGAATTCCAGAAAGAAAACTTTTGTACATGTTGTTCAATAAGTTATTATTTTAAGTTTGAGATATCATAAATTAATACAATACCTAACATGCCATAACTTGAAAGGCATTTTTGGAATTACAATACTGAAAAAATGTTATTATATCATTGATTACAATGGACACTTCAAAGTACATATTTTACAATTTGACATGAGTTTGTGGTTACTTACAGAATTCTGCAAACAATGAACACCATTATTAAATGGTGTCTAGCTCAATGTGTTACAGACACTCACATAAAGTGGCCTAAAACTTGAAGAAATTACATATAAGAAACAACAACATATAAACCATCAGGTTGATTGGATTTACAGGATAGTGGAGTTTAGCATTTATTAAAGCACAGGTTCTACTCCATCCATAATTATGAAGTTCTGTTGAAGCACATTTGTCAGTGTGCAGTCTAGTTAGCATGGTGCCATCCCTACTACTAACTACTGACCATGAAGCAACCAATCAGCAACAACCACTTTTACTTTATTATTAACAATACAAAAAACTTGAATAATTTTTATATTAACTTTTGGAGTGTTCGTAGAGCATTTCGTAAAAATGCAAATGATGACTGAACTCAATATTATAGGGTAATCCTTAATAAACCTACTTATACAGGTGCTGAAATTTATTCTCAAACTTTTCTGGTAACAAAAACACAGGACTTTGAATTTAAACTTCATAAAGTTGTTTTGGTTTTAATAATGGATTATCCATAATTCAGCTATGCAAATTTTTGAAAATAATATTAATTTTTTTCTATCACGTAAGGATTTTTTTATAAATTAGGAAGAAGAAAACTTTAATTACTCAGATCAAATTAAAACTTCGTTTACCACAACGAACATTTTTTATTATTATGTTTGTTAACAAAAACAGAAACAAGTTGAAGATATGGGAAGAATATTGATGTCAAACGAATATGCATCCTCATTTCTTTTGTGAAATCTACATCTTTTAGTCTCAAACTACGTGTTGTGGTTTTTCTTTTATGTATTGCATTATGACGGTTTCTGAAAAAGCTGTACGCAATGGAGAAAATTGGATATCATCTTCGGATTCAACATATAAGAATTACTGTAGAATATGTAAAAATTTCAAGACAATAAAACCATTGCAGGGTAATTATTCAACTTAAAGGTAATAATATTTTTTTCCAGGAGCTGTTGCAACGTTACCTACTTTGTTGTTAGATATATTTCTCAATCAATATATTAAGAATTAATGTAAAAAAGACAGAAGCATGTAAGTTTTTCAATCCTAAAGAATATAAGTGGATATACACATATCTCTATTTAAACTGAAAGGTTATGTGAAAAGAATGTTGTAGGTGTTCATAGTGTTAACAGTAGACTTTCTCACCTTACTGATTTTGATAGCTGAAGGTGCTCCTGGAAAACCAGGCAGACATGTTTTAAAAGCAGAGACTTCACTCCATGGACCACGGCCACAAGCATTAATGGCAGCTACACGGAACTTGTAGGCTGTTCCTGGCAGCAATTCCTGCTTCTTGAGCATAGAGTGGTTGGTTATAGAAACCACATCTATATCCTGGAACACCAACAACATAAATGTAAACATCGATTACCAGGTTGTAGTGTTTCAGCATCAAATAACAACTCACTGTATCACTTATAGTTGATGGCCAAAATGAAGCCAGATATCTCATGACAAGAAAAATCTTCACTGAATCTACTATTCAACAACAAATATTGTATTAATCAATTTACTTAACTACTATATGTACAATACTAGCAAAGATGTTTGCTTTCAAATTAGTATCTTTATTGCAACAGTATTTCTTTAAATACAAGATTTGTAGAATAATACAAAAGAAATGTAATAATAGACACCAAAATGTGTAAGTCCACTTGTATTTAGGTCATACTTCATAAAACCTTAAATAATGGTAGGCCTAAGTTCGATAAAGAGATAAATTAACATTGTACTGTGTACGTTTTTAATGTTAGTCATACCTTAGTTAAGGTTAAACTTTACTGTACTTAATACTATCTATAAATAAACTTAAAATACTATTCTAGGACCAAATGTCAGATCTTTTCGAAAACTTCAAGCTTTTAATGTTATTGTTCTAAATGGTTAATAAAGAGTATTTACATCCACCTTTTTCTGTTCCTTCATTCATAGAGCAGTTGTAGTGACTTGTTGGTTAAGCTTTCCAGCACTCTAGGTAAAAATTCTTACTGTGCATGCTTATAAGGCATACCAACAGCAGAATTATAGTATGACAAGATTTTGGTGTCTCCGATTATAATTCTTTTGTATTAATCTAGAAATCCTGCATTCAAAGAAGTACCATTGGAATAAAGACACTAATCTGAGTGGAAATGTCTTGAGGGTCTCTGCTAGTCTATTATAATAATACTCAGTTTTTGTCTGTCCTGATAATGTGTTGCACCTTACTATCTAAATAAATGTGTGCACACATCATTTTCATGACAGACACACAAACAAGCCTATTATTATATAGATAATGTCACGTACCTTATTAATTATAAATGCTTTTTTTCGTCACAAGAAAACTAGGCAAACGCTTAGTGACCACTATAATCAAATACTAAATGTTCAGCATTCTATTAGATAGATTAATAAAAGCTACAAACTTTAATGTTTTAATAAGTTTAATTATTGAAACTTTATAGATTATTAACAGCAATGAATCATCAGTTAAATTCCTTTCTCTACAGAGGTTTTTATCCAGCATCATTGTTAATAAAAAATTATTTAAAATCAGAATTGACTATGTAACAATACTTTTCTAAACAAGCTCTGTATACCTTTAAAAACAACTGTAAATGGAAAATAATCAATTATCATCTTTTTATGAACCATAAATTATAAAACATTTCTTGAACCTACAGCTACAAATTTAGGAGGAATATTTTATCAGAATAAAAACAAAGGGAGAGACAGCATCTAGCTTTAGTATATCTATACTGAAGCACATTCCGTCACTAAATATAAATTCCAAGCACATTAAAGTAATTATGGATAAATTATTATTACATGGTCTTCTTTGACAGAAAAATTGGATTCATTTTTTAAAAATATATCTTTTTTAAATTCTACTATATAATCTAAAAACCAACCCTACATGTAATTCATTTGTATTTTTATATCTAAGAAATAATATATAGAAATAAAAGGAAAATATTGTTCAAAATTGTTTTACTTTACAACAACAACTTACGTCTTCTTTTCTCTCAGACTGTTCAGAAGGTAGGTAGAAATGGGTAACCTGTGATGAATTCCCTTTGAAGATCCCAACATCATACCACTGATTGTCTCGTTTTACTGCCACTTTAGGAGTTAATTCTGAAACTGGAGGATCCTGTTAAAAAATGCATTTGGATGTTTATATTTTAGTAATAACATATTCCACATGAATGTGCAAAACATGTTTAATAGGATGTATTCATAATCTAATAGATTTATTTTGCTTACACTCTTTTTTTATTTATTCTAATTCTTTCTTTAGGAGTCTTGTGTCTCATAAATTATCTTTTAAAAACTGAGTTTTGAAATTTTTGATTTCTTTTAAGCATGTACCACTGTTTTGTAACTAACTGCCAACAAAATGAGTGTATTAAATGCACACTAAAATTAATGAGTTATGTGAAAAAGAAAAAAAATCAATGCCATCTATCTTTTTCTCAGCTTTCAGAATAAAAAGAGTTCATATTTTTTTTCAAAACTAGTCTTACCATTTTATAAAACAACTGTTCTGATAACAATTGAAGAACATTATTTGTCATTACAAACTAATAGAAATCATAAGAATGTCTGGAAATGAAAATCTTAGCTCCTATAAAAGCAACATTTCTAAATTAACAAGGCAAACAAGTTCTGTGAAGAGCTACACATTTAAAATGAAAACAATACTATGACTGAAAGAATAGATATACTTGTTAGTCTATAAATGTTCTGAAAATTTACCTTAACTACTGTTTTAGAGAACTATTTGTCACTCACTGTTTTGTTTTCTGATGGCTCTGGTTTGACAACTGGAGTTGAAAGGGCTTCAGTTGGTACACTAGAAGTAGCTGAGACTTCATCTTTTGATGATTCCTGTTTGACTGGGATGTCTCCTGGTTGGGTCATATTACTAGCAGATGAGATGGCAGCACTAGCAAGAGTAGCAAGAGGATCTATAGAAATAAAGAAAAAGTTGTATATATTTTTATTAAAGTCTAAAGTACTGATGAAACATGCTGTCTAAACTTACTGAATCCACCATTTACTGTCTCTTTTCAATTGGATGCACAACTGACAACTTATGTAATGATCTATCACAAACTACTAATATAAAAGTTTAAAATCATAATTTTCAGACTGACCTGTAACATTTTCCCTAAATTAACAAACAAAGCTTCCTGTTTAATAAGCTTAATTTTTTATCATACTTTAAGATAATTTATATATTGATTATTATTTATATTATTTTTCTTTAACCGAAGTATAAAAGACACTACATATAAAAATACATTCTACACTAACCATTTACTTTATTTTTTTAGGTATTTAGTAATTAATATGCCACAAGCTAAGGGCATTCAGCCTTGATAATTTCATGCAAGCTATCATACAGGCATGTTCAAACTAAAATAGTCACATATAAGCTATCAAATCAAATATTCAGCATTCTAACTTCTGTTATAAACAACATTAACAATGCTATATTTGCAGTTTTAAACATTTCAAACCAGATAAGTTAATATTTCAATTTGTTTAATTCATTACTAGTTTACAAGCCACTACTCGCAAAACATTTACAGTAGTTTTCATGCATTTCTCTTGAATTTTTTCTATTCTATCATTTTCATGCACGCCATTTAAGCTACACTTTATTGCAGGCATTGTGTGTTAGATCAATAAATCTTGATCTATTTAAAAACAATTTACATAGTCAGACAAACAAACTCATGTAGACATAACTTTATTTACTAAAACTACATGTAAAATAAACAATAACATAAAGTAATGGTATTTATTATAGCGTACATAGTATGAAACAGTTATGAGCGTTCAGTGTATGACACGGTTTTATGAGTTGAAACAAAGAAACTCACAAAAATGAAGAATAAAGACTATAGTAAAGAAAAAAGTGTTTGTAGAAGTCTATGAAACAAATTGAAGCTAAATTATTGCAAAGTAAAATAAATGTAAAGTTTTAATGAAGGCAAACTTAGATGAACATGCAGAAACGTCTGAATGTGTGTTCACAAATTAATAAGCATATGGTTTTGAATGAACTGCACATGCTTATTTTAGACCTAAACAAAGTGAGAAAGCCCATTGAAATTGTATTCAGTGTACTGTTAAGTTTTTTTAGGAAATTACATGCAGGTTAAGTGTTGTTTGTGAGAAATACTTTGCAGATAAAAAAAACTACAAAGTTGAAATCAAAGCCAGTAATGTGATGACAACAACATTGTGCCATCATTTACCATACTTGTTGCATTGAAAAGTTTGACTGTGCAAAAAACAGGTAAGGTGATCCTGAACTAAAAAGTCAATATGCAATCCAGACTCCTTGGATAAAGGCCTTTCTAACAATATGAAATAGTGCTTGATCATGAAATTTGCAGGAAAAGTTCAAACAAATGCAAGAATATTACTCATATAGATTACAAACCAGATGTATCCATAACTGCTGGTTCTGATGTTTTCTCTTCAGTACCACACATTAATGTAGTAGATGTGGTTGTAGTAGACACTGTTTCTGTGCTGGATAAATCTGTTTTAGCTAATGTTGGATTTGAGACCACAGCAGATGGCACTGAACTGTTTGTTTTCGGAACTGAAGTTAAAGGTAACGTCTGTATGCTGGACTCAGCTAATTCACTGTTTTCAGAAGATGACTGTTGGTTAAACAACACTGGAGTGGAAGGTATCTCAGGCTGTGTAACAGTTCCTACTGTGGTTGACACTATAGGAGTTAACTGTATGTTTGAGATTTCTGAGTGATCTTTCGATGAGTTTTTCATTTCTGATGGGACTGCTTCTGAGGTGTCCATAGGCTGAGAGGTTTCAGACAGTGACTGACCAGAACCTTCAAAATAAGAAGTAGCAATAATTATTATTTTCATGTAGATAACCAATAATTGTTGTGCATTAGAAGTTCAAATTGAAAAGTAAATAAAGGATAACATTTACTTGTTTGATACAAATTGTTTCAAAGGTTTACAATGAAAAAATTAATGGTAAAATGTACTATAGCTAATTACTGACTATTAGAACATTAGACAGTAACTAACATTCTTATAATTGTTTCATAACACAATCTAGCACAACAATCAACAAAGTTAACATTTTCATTACTTGAAAATGTATTTCAATTAGATACTCACTTCTCTGCACAACAAAGAGCTGTTACTTCCCATCACTGCAGTGAAGATTGTTGAGCATGACATAAGCCTTGAATGAAGATCCCATCCCAAAACATATTAATGTGTAATGTACCACCCTATGAAGTAGTCATCATTAGACTATAGCCCTCCACCAACAGTAGGGCAACACATCCTCCATGTGCAGTAAAGCCCATGATCACTAGCATTCGAACAAAGGCTTATTCTTAATAAAGCAAAGTAAATATATCAAAAATTGGTATCTACTTGAAATACATTTTTAGGTAAGAAAAAAAAAGTTAACTTCAAAAATGTATAATCATCTCCCTGCACAACAAACAGCTAGAATACTACACTGATAAGATGGTACAGAAAGAAGTTAAAATCATAGCATCAGAAAAGGAAAACTCATAGAACGATTCATCCACTGAAAATGAGGGGTAGCCTAGTGCAGCATCACTCAGTAGGAGACTGCCCTTCTTATGCAGGAAATACTCTTTGTTCAGTATATGGAAAGTTCTTTATGGCAGAGGTGAGAGGTGTTATGCAACAAAGTGAGTACATGATTCAGAAAGATTTTTCTATATGCTTATTCTAGCAACAACAATAAGACAACTACAACAGCGAAAAAATACAATAATGAATAAACTAAGACAGCTTTGATGAAATAATACATATTACATACTAGTTCAACCAGGTCATAACAACCACTTTTAATGTTTTTAAATGAAATTAAATTTTTTAAAATTTATCATAAGGGTAGTAATGTTAAGTATAAACATAATATCTTTTTAAGGGGTATCTTTGTTTAAGAAAAGAAAAAATCAAATGAAGCCTGAAATTATTCTATGTATTAATATTATATACCAAAACACTAAAAAAACTAAGAATCACTTAACAGTATACACAAAACATATTAATATATTAATTGTATTCTGTATATTCAGAAGCAAAAGGTATATTTTTAAGGCTTTATTTTTTTTATTTATGGCAAAGCTACAAAGGTTACCTGTTGCCATCATTAATTTTGAATAATTAGCTAGTCAGCAATGATCTACTATACACACTAAAGGATTAACTGTCACTCTCATAATGCACCCACTGCTTAAAGTGTGGGGAACATTTTGAACACAGTTCATCAGCACCAAAATCCTGAGCTCCATCATAGGGCTAATGTTGTTATATTCTTTTTACAGCTTAACTAGTCTTCTATTTATGAATTAATGAAAGGATATTAAAACTTTTTCATTGTTTTCTTGTCACAAAGTGATCAAATGTGATCTACGAGAACTTTCAAATTTCTGCCAATATTACCAGCTACAAACTTCAGATGCTTTTTTTATATGAAATTACACACCATGGCTAATTTTTTTTTATGTGACTTACTTGACATGAATTATTAATATAAACATTATTATTTCAAGCTTTCAACAAATGTCAGCTGTATGTAATTGCATAACTAAGGCCTAGCACAGTATGCCTTCATATCCCCAGTGTTTTATTTATGAACCTAAGATTTGTTACTAAATAACTTTCATCACAAAACTGGCAAATGTCATAACAAGCTCTGAAATGGATTATCTTAAGGAGCACAAATGTATCAGCATTATCTTCAAAACCAGTCTAATATTCTCTAGTAAATATTTATTCTTTGCTCCAAGCCATCTATCTGAAAACATAGTTAGCACCTTAGCTTTCATTAAACTGCTTGTAATATCTTCACCTTTAATGCACTATTTACTTTTCAAAGGGAAAAGAAAAATTAAAATGTGCAGTCTCCGAACTATACAATTACAACTTATATAGTCAAACAAAGATACCACCATTGTGAAGTGAAATGAAAATAGCAATTAAATTTTTTTATGATCACAAATGAAAAAAACTTAATACTTCAAACACTAATTCACTTTAGTAGTGACAAATACCACGTTGTCAAAAACAATGCTGCACTGTAGGTCATAATTAATTATGCTATTTCCAAACAAAATTTTACCAAACTTATAAGTTTAAAAGCAAAAACAGAGAAAAATTGCAGTTTCTTTAACTTATCACCAAACCATAAAAACTCATATTATTTTCCTGAAAACATATGTAGATTACATTTCATCCTCTTATTGCTATTTAAAACAACAAATCATCTGCTTTTTTTTGTCAAGTGTTACACAGACAACAATCAAGAATGGGTCTAACCTAAACTTTCTGCACTAGCCTGTGTAGTGGAGTCAACTTCCATCTCAGTTTCAGAGTTTTCTTGAGAGGTTGCCATGGAGATTTTAGCCTCCTGTGAGGCAACATTCGTTTCTGTTGAGCCTACAGCTGGTTCTTCTGGATCATCTGCACACATCTGGGCAGGTGGCATTGCCCCTGGTTGTTCTAAAGTGAGTTGTGACTGTATACTTCCCTGTGTCTCAGAATCAGTAGATTTCTGTACTGTAGTGGCAAGATAAAGAATAGTGTTATCTATGTGTAGATACAGTCTTATTAAAGAAAATAAATTTTCACAAATTTTGTTAAAGGAATCTGAAAAGCCTACCTAAAATGTGAATTTTTGTAACAGAGCCAACTCAAGTAAATAGAAATTGTAAGTTGCATGATGATGACTATTTAAGTGTTTATCCATCTTAAGTAACTGACTGATAAAAATAGCTGTCCAAAATGTCTGTACAATAATATTTTGGAAAAGGTGGGTTGTGGTGATGAGGAGAAAAAGATGTGTTCATTGTATGTAATTAAAACATATACATTCTAAAAATAAACAAAATTATTAAGTCTATGCTGACACATACTGGATATTACAAGTGAAAATAATGTAAATAAAAAGTAGATGTTTCAGTATTAATTCAACTAAAAAACTTCAAATAAGATCATAACCGATGAATGGCCTCCACTGCCTATGCTCTGGCCAAAGATGACAATATTTAAAATCAGTTACACCTAATGTACAAAAAATTTTGAAGTGAATTGAATGTCAGATTTTACTTATATTTATTTACCATAAAGTCAGAATTATTTACAGATGTTAAAACACAAAGTAGAATTTTGAAGTGAATTGAATGTCAGATTTTACTTATATTTATTTACCATAAAGTCAGAATTATTTACAGATGTTAAAACACAAAGTAGAGTTAGCAAATATTTGTACCTAGTTACAATTAGCACAAACTTTAACTTTCAAATATCTTACTGACTAGTACTGGCAATAAAAAGAGCATTATCTTTATGTGAAATGACCTTTGAAATTAAACAATTTGGGACAAATAAAATTTTGGAACTAGATGAATTAGACCTTTAATACTCACTCTAATGCCACAGTTTGCAACTTATGTTTAGCACCACATAAACGATACAGTTTAATTCTGGTTTGCTTTAGGAGCAAGAAGACCAATTTTCTCCACATCAATGACCTTAAATTGCTAAGATTATTGATTCAGTTTTGGTTTACTTATAAGTTTTACTTACTATGAGCATTACTTTGTTTCTTCCAAATATCTGCATATCTCATGAATTTTACTTTCCTAAGAGTTCATCACATTAACAAAAACTGTTTATCAAGTGACAGCAAAATCTTAATAATTCAATTTTAATATTGTAAAAGATACAACACACACAGATACAGGGAATATAACTTTCATTGTAGGCTTCCCCACTGTTGCATACTCAAATGTTGTCCTAGCATCACTGGTGTTTCATGCTTGTGGGAAGTGTAGTGAGAAACTGAATAAAAGTTTTTGAAGGTAGCATTTGTAAATTGTACCTTACCTGATAATTATCAGCTTCATACCATATTAAATGTTTAATTGTAATTAATTCTGTATATCAACAATTTCTTCACCGAATATATTATTTGTTCATAAGTTTCAATGGTGTATTTCATGACTTGTATACCTATTCTACAAACTTTAATTTCAATAAAAAATATTCAATTTAATGTGAAATAATACTTGGGGATGCATTTCTTTGCGTACTAAAAATAATTTTAAGTGTCTGAATATAACCTCTCTTATCAGGAACCCTTTTATGACTCACAAACTTCATAAATCATTTACCATTAACAAATGTGAACTAATATACACTGAAGTGTTAATATATATATATATATATACACCTTACATGATTTAACCAAATGATACAATTTCAGATAAAAAACAACAAATAATCATAAGCTATAAACTACCCAACAAGTGAAAGTGTGTAATTAAGTAGGCACATTAAATAGTGCTATCAAATCAGCTTCCAGATCGGAAGTGAGCCACTTGAGCAATAGGTTTTTTATGATAACATTAAAGCAACATAAAAAATTTGAACCACTTGAAATAAAGACCATCAGTTTTGGATATACTGTGATTTTTAACCTTATCAAGAACTAAAGAAATGTAATTTAAGTCTACAAACAAAGTTAAGGAATTGATTTTTAAAACTTGTAATGCAGGTAAATTAATATGTAGAATTACAATGGACTTTTCTCTACATTAAAATACTTTCATTTGTAAGCTTTTGGCTCTCTTACCAGAGTTTTCATCAGGCAACAATGTACTGAGCAATAAAAATTCATTTAACTGTGGGATAGTGCTTTAAAATAGGTATCTAAGGCAACAATCATATTAATAACTGACATCAGGTATTAAAGTAATTAAACATATAGAATTATGATGAATATATCAGATACATCGATTGCTTCAATATAATAAACATAAGGAAAATACAATTATAAGTATTATATAGAGAAGCTTTCTCTTCCATGTGTTCTTGATCACTGGGTCCTGGGTTTTTTAGATATAAACTGGGACCCAAATTAAAGACTCAAAGATGTAGGCAACTGGTTCCTTTTCAGGCCAGGTTCAATTGTCAATCTATGGAAATTTTCTTTAGTGTATTTAGCTGATAGTATTTAGTGCATTAAATACTAGTAATGATCATTATAATTACACGTGTTAAGAAGATGAAATAAAAAAGGTACAAAGTTCATTTTAATGTAATACAAAAAAAAAAATAATGTGCTTGGAACATGGTTTGACTATACATTTTAAAGAATAACAGGTGTGAAGTTCTCGACAAGACTCAAATATGAAGCATCAGAACAACAGTACAGTGAAATAAAAACATTGAATACTGTACAGATTTGTTTGTTTATAATTCTTTATCTTATTGTTTAATTTAATATTATTGACATCATAATGCTGGAGTGTCACCTGTATTACTAATGTTCTATTGTCAGTTTGAATTTAACCTTTTGACTGCAGTTGTTTTAAATGGGCATGGAATAGTTGTGAGCCATACACTGTTTACAGCACACTTGCATTCAACTGCTGGAGGTGGACCATACCCTATAGGGTAAATCACTAGTCAATGAGTTAAACTCATGTTTGTTTTATTTCAAATCACTGTATGTCAATGACCCGAAGATGCAAGGTCAACCTAGTGAAACATATGTATTTATATACTTCTTACTTCCAATAAACTCAACATTTATACCATCTAAGTTGTTAATTTAATATTTTTCAGTTACATCACTATATCTGTTCACTGCATGCATATATTTTTGCCATGGAAAAACTAGAAATATGAAGTTTGAATGTACGGTTTGAACAGACTAAAGAAGAAATATGTCAGGACTCTCCAGAATGAAACTGTCATTTTCAGGGACATATTCAACTAATTTTGACAGTACATGAACTCCATCAAAATTAAATAAATATTGTTTTACTATATTAAAAAAAAATGCAGTAACAGTTACACCAAACAATCTACCAAACATCTGAGCTATTGAAAAAAAAAAAGCTTATTCAAGCAAAAAAAGACTATGAAAAAAGCCATTAAAAGAAATCCTACATTTAGCTAAGCATTGCTGAAATAAAGCAATAGCACTAATGAGTTCATAACATAAAGTACTCTAAGTATAGTTGAACTTTTCCAACCTTCTGATTAATAACTAATGATAAATCTTTTCTACAAAATACTAAGCTTGGACAGAAGCTAAAAAGTTCTCTAGCATGTAATTAAAACCAACAGACATTTATTGAACATATTTCACCTTCCTAATAGGTCAACAACTCAGCTTATACACAGTCGGCTGCTAAACACAGAACATATGTCATCATATCAACCAAGCAAAGATTCACACTTCTCTTGTTGCATCACTAACATGTGGTATATCTTGTGTTCTCCTACAGATTAGCACTTCATTGTTTTAAACATTTTCTCAAGTTATTGCTACAATTATAACTAAAATAAAAGTCTTTAAAGAACTGGAAACATTGTGGATCAATATAGTGTAGGATGAAAAAATTCAGACTTCAAATTTAATGGTCGTACAGGTTAAAATCAAAGTATGAAATTTAATTTTATGTTTTTTGTTAAAATTAATTCTCTCAACCCTGTCATTTTGTGAGAGAGCAAATCTTTTGTTGGAGTTTTTCATGCTCACATAATATTCTCTCATTCACCCTTGGATCCATCTTAGGGAAAACTGCAACTTGTCCTTTTCATCAATCGGTTCTTTCTGTCTGTCTAGCCATTGCTGATACAGTTCTGTGCACTTCACCTTGAACATTTTCACAAGAAGACGATCTCTGAGAACCCCCCCCCCCTCACGTCTATGAACCAGTCAAATGCTGCCTGCCTTACTTCTTCAGCTTTATGCTTCCTGCCACCACCACCACATTCTATAAACCCCTTTGTCTTTTTGGCTGCATCACCATCATCTTCATCCTTCTTGGATTTTCTTTTCAAATTGTTGTAACACTTTTTTGCCATTTATATGCTCTCCTAAACTTTTCATCAGGAGAACTTACATCTTTCAGGGAAGGAAACATTTCTCTAACTGCCTTAGATAGGAATCCTTCTGTGGGCTTTTGTTTTACATGCTTTTTTTGCCGTTGGTCCCAGAGGGTTGATGAAGATGAAAAAGCATCATCATACTGTGCTTTATATTTATCACACAGCTCTACCAGTTTCTCATTGTCATCTAATATGTATTTACTGTATTTTGATGAAAAAGGATCAGCCATTGTTAGTTGCATTTACAGCAACAGGCTAGCAGACGAGGAAAGGACGAACATGGAAGTAAGTAAACTTCTGTTTGGAAAACAAAATCAGCGGTTTGCACTGAAAAAAAACCCACAAACAAATAGCATGGGCCTAGAAATCCATTAAAAGAAATCTTACATTTGGCTGAGCATTGCTGAAAAAAGTAATAGCAATTAGGTAGAGTGTGCAACATTTTTAGTCTGGAATGTTAGTTGGAGGACTCCCCTTGAGTAGGCCTACTTACAGAGTACATTGCATGCATTTACAATGGCAAAAACTTTCACACAATCTAACGTTTATTAAATGTATATCAGTGATGACTGAATCAAAATTCTGTTCAAGTTTTATAGGCCTAGATCTATTGGCAAAAGTGTGTGAAAAAGTAATGTGCAGTGAAAATATATAACCCAAGTTCAATTGACTTGCAAAGCACTGAAGCAAGCTGATTGGCTGGCTGATAATCAGTAGTCTTTGGCAGACCCAAATAAGCATTGTGCAGGGCAGAAAATTTTTCCAAAATTAATAATCATACAGGTACGATTATTTGGCACACAAGAGTATCAATGGTCTACAAAATTTGACAGACTTTTGATTAATAATGGTGAATATCATATAGCAAACACTGAAACAGCATAATTTAACTGTGTACCTTTAGGCAGAAATCAAACTGGAATATCACTTGAAAAGTATAAACACATAAAAAGCATTTCTTGATTGGTAAATATGGAAAAATAAAGAATGTTTTAATATAAGAATGATTGATGGGATCAATTCAAGCTTGTTGAATACATTTGCCTAAACTTTTAATGCATCAAGCTGCTTATGATTTCATGAATTTATTGCTTACATGGTACCCAATAACACATGAATCACACCCACTACAATTTAAACAAAAATAAAAATAATGAAATTAATCCATCTAATTACTACTGGTGTCTCCAATGTATTTTACTTAGAAAATAACTGAATCCACCAATATATTTTTGTCAGGCCTTTACAGTTAGTGTTGTAACAGGCAAATATATAAAACTGCTCAATATGATACAATATGTGGACCCCCACCAGCACTGAATGATGTAAAAAACAAAAGTCAGTAACTTGAGAACAAGTGATTCTCTAACATTACAGCAGTAAGCCTACAACCTTCAAAATAACCATTTTTGAGAGATGTAAATGGAAGTTATGTTTAAATGTAGTTGAATTTCTAGCAACTGCTGTTAACCCTATCGACACAGGTCAAAGGCCATGTCATCATGCTTGTTGACTCGCATTCAAAATTTTATTAAACAACTATTTTATGAATGTATGTCAATAATTTTGGTGTTAAATTGTAGATTATAATTATAATTTTGGTATTACATTAGTTAATTTCTTAATTTAAAAGTAAATATAAAACAAAGTCTCAATATCGATTTTTGTGAGTGACGTGGTATGTTGAATGCAGCATTGGTTCAAACTAGATGTTTGTGATGTCCAAGTACAAAGACTACACTTAGATACTCATATTACCAATATTGATAAGCTAGAATATAAAATAAGAACCTCCTATCTTTTCTACTTTCTGAGTCATTAATATATTTATTGAATCAACCAAGGTTGCCCCACCCACCTCTACAATTTCTTAAAATACTTGTATCACCAAATGATATGCGTATAACTAATTGAAAGCTCAGAATGTCCCCCTAGTGGCTTTCTCAGCCTCTTCAAAGTATCTGGGTGGCAAACTCGTTCTTTTCATACTAGATTCCAAGCAGTAAGGTAAGATATTAATGAGTTCGAAATTTCATATTTTTTTAGACTCAAATACAGCTTGATAAATTATAGTGGAATTCTGTGGTATTGATATAGTAATTTATAATTTTTGGTTATTTCGAAATGTACATATAAAACCTAAAAAAATTATTTCATTTCATGTGCAAAACGTGATAAGGCAAGCAGCAACCAAGTACAAAGTTTGTAACTAGAAGAGATAATTGTTTGTTATACTTCTTTATTTACTGTTCTATGTTTTAAGAAAAATAACTGATATTTTAAAAACCTAATTTTTAAATAGTAATAATGTAAATACATATATAACATATTACAACTGAAATATGACTGTATTTTATAAAATACTGGTTCACTAGAACACAACCAAGACAGGTCATTTTGTAAAGGCCAGTTTTATATTCTTGGATACGGTAACACGAGTGCACGTCATTGCAACTTCTGTAATGTTAGCCAGGCATGGCTGAAAGGTCAATATAATAAAAATAATAAATATGTATATGCATTGTATAATTTTATGAGCTTTAAGCTATTTAGACTAAACATTAGTGTTTTCATATTATAATTTGTAGTCATTCTAGAATGAAAAAAAGCATCATTTATATATATATTTCCTAATTTTTTGTGATGGTTAAAAGGTTGGTCAAATAAACTGAACCTGTACAGAGATTCGAAAGTGGAAATAACAGATAAAATATAAAGATTTTTCTTAAAAACCATTTGATTATTATTTAGAGTTTATAAAGCTTTTCTATGTGAAATTTGAAAATTTTCTGATGCACATGAAAATATTTTTAACCTTAAAATCAAAATTACTTTGCATGTTGGATAGTCAACATTCAAAAAGAAAAAAAGGCACGAGAAAAACATACTTAAAAAATCTTAAATCTTAAAATAGAAATATGATATTTTGTGTAAAGTTTACTGATAATCTGCAAAATTTCATGAAGATACACTTACTGAGAGAGAGATAGAGAGTTAAAGCAAAGACCATTTGCAGTAAGAAATTCAGCTATGTAATAATATCTACACTCAAATAATGACACTTAAACTAAAATATAACTTCATTACCCACAGTTTGTTTTTTAAATACCAGATTCAACAAAACCATTACTGAATATACAGAGTCCAATAGTACATTAAGTATCCCAGAGATGTTAGATCTAGCAAATGTTCCCTATAGACAGCAGAAAAATTTACTCTTATAAACATTAGAGTATTAATTCTTATAAAACTATCAATTTTTTTCCAAGTAACTAAAACTAAAGACTGTCAATTTCTTTTGTAAATGTATTAAAAGATAATTACAGTGTTGATGTTTTTACTGAATCTCAATTTGTATTAGTTAAGAAGTTCCTGAATTTTGGTTAATTTCAACATATATAAAGAATGATATAAAATACCTGAACTATTACTGGTTGAAACTTCTTTAGGTGCAGTGGTACTACTTTCATCTTTGACCTCACTTGCAGATATGTTTTGACCCTTTTCACTATCTGTTAGAGATAGCTTATCATCAGTAGATTCTTTTTCCTCACCACAGTGTTTCCCATCAGTACATTCTTTTTCCTCACCACAGTGTTTCCATCAGTACATTCTTTTCCTCACCACAGTGTAAACCATCAGTACATTCTTTTTCCTCACCACAGTGTAAACCATCAGTACATTCTTTTTCCTCACCACAGTGTAAACCATCCGTACATTCTTTTTCCTCACCACAGTGTAAACCATCAGTACATTTTTCTTCACCACCGGGATTTTCTGTGTTTTCATTTCCTTCACCACAGTGAATACCATCAGAACAATCATTTGCCTCATCTGGACAAGACTGCTGGCCCTCATCACAGTGCTGACTATCTGTACAAGACAACTGGACATATCCTTCTCCATTGATAATGTTTATACCATCAGTCTGCAATTTTGCTCTTGAGTCAAGGGAATTCATAAGTGCATCACCACTCTGAGTGTAATGGACTTCAAAAGATTCTGATGTATCCATTTCCTGAAAAATATTTTAAAACATGAACATACATACATCAATGTAGGTTCGAGAAGTCTTAATATAAAACAATAAAAACCTTAAGACCCGAGAACACATCAATACACACACATGAAAAGAAAAAAAACAAAACACATTTCTATGAAGCTGAAATTTCTGTCATCTTTATGAGAGATAGAACATATATATGTATGCATATATGACTTTTTAACTTTAATACCTAAATGGCATCTTTGCATTTCCTTTAACTCATTATGTACATAATTCTCAAACTTTACAAGGTAATCCACATAAACTTGTTCAAGATATTGAAGTTGAAAAGGTGAAAAACAATCACAATAACAACTGTTACAACAGCCTACAGTAGGTTTCAAAGTATTAAATTTATAACTTTGGTGTACGTATTTACAAATAATACATGAAAAATATACCATACAAGTTTTATGAATGTTTTCAGTGGTATGTTTTTCTCTCTCTCTCCAAAAAAACCACTTTGACAATAAATAAAGAAGTACATTATAAGTGGTGAATATACCACAATCAGTTTTTTTGTACATTAGATTTGCTAAAGCATGGTAAAAAGTTCTGTAGTGGCTGATGCTGCTGTATTATATCTCCTTTTTTTCTGCATACGACTACAAATTGTTAGTGAACTCAAACACAATCATCACGAGAAACTATACTACAATATTACTAATTTTCTTCATATTTGACCTCTTATTTTATCATTAAGATTTTATAATACTTTCATACCATAATTGTTTTTAATTTTAAATCAAAGTATATCTTGTGTCTATACAAAATGATTGTATTCATATAATGAAAATAGAGGAAAAATTATGCTACATCTTACTTGAATAAATATTTTCATAGTTCAACACCACCACAATACAAACTACCTATGTAACAGTTGGTTATATTTAAAACTTATTAGAACAAAAACAAAGATTTCATAATTAAGACACTTAAATGATCTTACCAGAGAAAATTATCCAACTGATTAAAAGGATATAGGCAATGTTGTAAAATTTCATAACAATGGTCAACTTTAATGACTTCTGTTCTTTCTTCCTCTCTCTGCTTATAAAGTTGCATATAGTTACAGATATTAATTAACATGTTAATTTTATTCAAGTTTCCAACTTCTTGGCCATCAGTAATTCTGTTTAGTTTAACTTTATTTTATATTAACTGACTGCCTGTCATATGGCAGTAAATGCTGATTATATTACTGTAACAATATATCTATAAAGAATGTTTATTCTTTTTCTAGTATTTTCATACAAGCAACATTTCTTTTGTATATTTGGTCATCTTCTGTAAGTTGTCCTTGATTATAATTTTTACTCATGTATATTTTTATGTTCCAATCTTGTTCTTGTGGTTCATAATGAAGTATTCCTAAATGTCTGATCCTGTGATGGCAAAGGCAATGAATTTTATGGTGAAGGGCAAATGCATGAAGGTATAACTTTTCATAAAAAATTGTTATACTTTTTTATGGAAGATGAAAAAAACATCAATAATTATGTAATGTAGTGCCATGTACTGGGTTTAAAAGATATCTAAACTGTTTTTGACACATACAGTCACTGGTATTTATTATATAACATGATATTATTCCTGATTTAACTCGAATAGGACTTGAGCCTCAAACTTAAAAGGATATAGGCAAGGTTGTAAAATTTCATAACAATGGTCAACTTTAATGACTTCTGTTCCTTCTTCCTCTCTCTGCTTATAAAGTTGCATATAGTTACAGATATTAATTAACATGTTAATTTTATGCTATAGCTACTGTGGCACCAAGTTTTTGTAATCAAATGTTAACAAATAATTAAAATCCCTAATGTAAACTAGGATGATGATTTTTATAATATTGTAATATCTTGCTCTAAAAATGATGAGTTAATAATTTACAAAAGTTATAAAAAAAATCCCCACTCAACTGCAATTTGAACTCGAGACTTCTGCTTGAGATAAACTACCCAGTCAATTTGAACATTACAAAGAGTCGAGCATTACAAACAGAAAGTGGTTTTTATGTACAAAGATATTGGCAGTTACACAGCATTTCCCACCCCTTACTTCCTATCTAAAAGCTACTAGACAGCTCTGATGCCCAACAAACTGGTGTAAAATTAGTTACCTCCTGTCCCGTTATATGGGACATTGTAGACTGGTCAAGTGTGCCCAATGAATCATCAGTTTCCATAGGCAAAGACGAGTGTTGTGAAGGCATCTCTACTGTTGATGTTCCTGTACCAGACACAAGACTTGCTATAAGCTGAGCTGCTTGGGTGGGATCAAGACCTGATACAGAAATATCATACAATCACACAGAATAAGCTCCTGTCGGACAAAAATTCCATCAGTACTAGACTTTCCTGTAAACAACTACTTTTATCACATGGGACAAGTATATCCATGAATTACATCTACAGTGAATTATGGGTCAACTTATTGAGGTGAAATGTTGCATTTTGCATCAATCTTTTTGTGTTGTTCACTCTGTATTAGGAATCACACAAAGACACACACAGTCAATAATGAATAAATAAAAATGAATTTCTTTTGCAATGTTTTGGTCTTAGGCCCACTTCAGGCAATAATCAAATTACAACATTTCTAATTTAATTATTGACTCAAATGGACCTCATTCCAAATTGTCACAAAATATAGATTAATTTAGTAACAATGTTTGTTTGTTCTGAATTTTGTGCAAAGATATTCGAGGGCCACATATGCTACTTTAACAGTGATAGACTAGAGGGAAGGCAGCTAGTCAACATCAACCACCACTAACTCTTTTATCAATGAAGAATGAGATTGATCATCACATTATAAAACCTCCACAGCTAAAAGGGTGGGCAAGTTCAGTGACAGGGACTTGAATTCTCGATCCACAGATTGCGAGTCAAGTAACAATATAGAAAGTATTTTATCTTCAATTAAAAAAAGTTAATTTGCTTATTTAATTAAATGAATTCTACACTTGAAGGAATACTTTCTTTGATTAATAAAACAAAAAGGATTACTTGTCAAATTCATTATCATCAACCAAAAATTTCAACAAAATATTGTGAAATTACATATTAAAACTACTATAATTTTATTTGTATGCTTTGTAACATATACACAGCGTGGTCACAAGTAAATAGACACCACCTTTTTAGAAAAAATGAAATATTTCAGTCATATTCACATGA